ATCGAAATAGACAAACACCAAAATAACCTAAACACAAGAGACGATACGCAACGATTACCAACAGCTTGAAAACCAACAACAAGAAAGAGAGCAGCCCCAACTCCCGTTCCACATCGTCGAACAGACAACGATAATGCCCTACCGCCAACCACAAGGAGCCGTACGCGAGCGCAGCCAACCAGCACAAACCAGTCGGCATATAAAGCAGAGACAAACCAGCTGAGCACCAGTTCAAGCCGAGTTCAGACGAGAAGCAGAACGACCCGACTTGAAAATGGCAAGTGATATCTTGCCGAAACGTTGTCAGTAGAGGACTACCTCCACTTGGAGCCAGCCAGACCAGACGCGGAGTAACACCCGGAAGAAACGACAAATTGAATAAATCAAATTTTGATTTAAATGTATATTAATTTACAAAAAATTAATTCATTGAAACGAAATTAAATATTTGGGTGATATATTTAACTCAAATTTTGCGTTTTATAGTTATGCCGATTACATAATGATTTTTTTTTAATTAACTTTGTATAGGCAAAAATTTGTAATTATCACCAAAATCTTATTCTATAATAGCGTAGCTACTTCACTTTAAGAATTTTGTTCAATTTGCCAAATTATAAATTAGGGCAATTGCAGAGTGTTCAAAATATTGTATAGGTAACAGATATAGGCCCAATTCAAAGTATGTGAGTGCACTTTTCTTGTGTGTAAACCAAAAAGTTATATTTAATTTCAATGTATTTATTTTTAAAATTAAACAGCAGTGTTCCTGATAATGTTTGTGAAAAAGTTTCCTACTTTACACTACACGAAATTGTGGTCATTTTATGTTGAGAGAAGGTTATTCTAGTCATGTGTAAAACTCCACATTAGAGGTGTACATAAATTGATTTGTGTGCTTAGCTCTTAGTTTCTGTTTACCTTTTTATATTTAAAATTTCTGTTTTGTATTTTTATGTAGCATAATACCAAATAAAGATATATTATTATTGTTATTATTATTATTATTATTATTATTATTATTATTAAATAATAAAAATCACATAAATCCAAAATATCTCATTTTGACATTCAAATAAACATAAGTAACTGCGGTTAATCTTAGCAATAAATTGTTCAGAATATCTCGAAACCCCTGTTTAAATACCAATTTTAGTTGAGGGTACACACGTTAATTTTGAAAAACTGATAATCGATATCGGCAACCAATGAAAATGATATAGCAACCGAGCCGCGTCGGCGGCGCATAGATTTTCTATATTTAGCGCAAATATCTCGGTCAATTTAAATTAATCTTGTTAAATAAACAATGTACCCGCGCACGAAAATTATTTTACTCGCAACAGTAACTTCCCATTACGTCGCAATTAGAACAAAATCCAGTAAGCCTGGGGGGATTGGATAAGACTGCTCACGTTCGCTTTTTATGCCACGCCCCCAGCCCAAGGCCTGGTGCTTTGTAATCTTGCGAAGTGGGGGGCGTCTTAAACATATTCGTCGACTACTTAATTCGAATTAGAATATTCGACGAAAGCGTGTGACTGTAATTTTAATACTATTTTATAAAGGGCTAAGCAGAAGTAACCTTAAAATCAACTACGGTAAAAAACATCAGCAAAATATTGTCGGATGACAACAACTTCTAAAAAAAAGTGAACTTCTTAAAATCATGCAGCATAACTCAGTGACGACCCTGCCATATTGGTGTTTATTTATGGCATGCAGAATTAAGACAAAGTTGTCTTCCAAAGTCAGCGTGATTCATTTTTTACCAGATTATTTTGAAGGCCGCGAAAATTGTAAAGGTTTGCGTAAATATCAGCATTCAAGTATACATGGTGTCCCCGAAAGGTCTGTCGTAAGTTAAGAAATTGCTGGAAATTATTTTCAAGTAACTAAAACGGTCGTTACAGGGTGCATCTCGTTTTCGTAATATGGAATAAAGCACCACAATCAAACATTAATGTAAACGGCATTGAATTGGAAATTAAATCATAAGTAAAAAAAAATATGATTATAGAGATTTTCTCACGGTATACTAAGTGGACTTTTGTAATGACGTCATTAGCTTCAATTTAAACATCTTCTTGCAAACCTCTGATCATTTTCAGATTGTCCTACGTCTATACCGTGTACGGCCTAGCTAAGCTAAGCTAAGGGCAAGAGACTGCAAGGGAATCAGAATTCATTTTCCAGATTTGCTTTTGGCATTAGAAAATATGAAAGTATTAGTCAAATGATATACAATGAAAAAATACTAAAGTCAAAGTCACTTACAAATTTCTAATCTAATATTTCTAATTGTTTGCAAGTGCGAAAACTAATATTTTTTAGAAAAATTAAAATATTGGGGAAACTATTGGATTTAGGTATCTACTATTAATAAGAAAGTTGAAGAATTTAAAAATGAATCCAAAACAAAATTGAAAAATGGGGTGTTTACAACTGTGTACTAACTATTTTCTTATAACCTCTGAAACCAATGAGATAATGCACTTTTATCGTTGACTCGCCCTGTCTTTAAAAGGGTCAACCCTGGCAATCGTTGCCAGTATGTTAGAGTTTCTTCTGCTTGGATTGCATTTCTTGTTGCTTGGCGTGATATACCCAATATTGGTGGTGGACCAATCCCTGTTGTCTCCGCTTGCTGGAAGATTGGCTTTTTCATCTTCCAGTCCATTACATCCTGGTACCTTATTGAAGCACGCTAACACGGATAGGGCCTCTTAGCAATTTTTTACAGTCTTCCATTTATTTTGAGACGTTTTGCCTCTGCCTTTTTATTTAAATCGTTTCATTGTGAGTAGTACTGTTATATAAACATAGGTGGACCCCGGTACTCTATTATTTATTTTGAAAAAGCCTCAAAGATTTAACATTTTCAATAATTTACTTTACTTTTAAATTACTAAGTAGTAGGTTATAGCTAATTGCCAGCGAATTATTAATTTTTTCTATGTATCTCTATCCATTGACATCTACAGAATTTAGGTTAAAATTCTAGACAGACCACTTGGGAACACCCGGTAATTCCAAAATCTCACAATGTTAACAGCCAATTTCGATACTCCATTTTCCGTCAAAATAATCGATCCCAATAATTTGATAAATTTTTATCGTAAATGTTTATTAAAAACTCGATTTTTCTTTTATATGTGCGGTTCAATCTAATATCCCGCTCAACAAAAATATAAATATAAAAGTGAACTATTCAAAAATATCAGGGAAAGATACTCCAGCGTATTATGGCAAAAATTATTTCATGATTTTGTTTATTTGTTTTTAATCTATAATATGGATATAGTTTTCCATAAATGATATGAACTAAGAAAAATAGTTAAAACCGACTTTCAAATAACAAAAAAAATATATATTTACGATCAAAAATTATCGTCAGCGGATCGATTATTTTGCGGTGAATATACAGGGTGTTAAAAAAGTACGCTCTCAAACTTTAAGGCACGATTTCTCCTGAGTGATTCTAAGACAAAAAGTTCATCTTAGCTATCAAGATACGCAGCGTGGATTGGGTAATGCAAATCCTGGTTACCTTGCTGCTAATTTGACAATTATCTAGTTGTTTAATTGTGTTTGTTATTCAAATTATATTGCTTGCATTAGTGGCAATTTTTACTTATTTGTCTACAAATGAAAAGAATAACATAATTGAGAACTTGACCGAAACTAAAAACTCAGTTTCAGTTAAGCTCTGAAGAAGTCAAAAGGATCATTGGCGAAACGTTAGCTAATTCGACTCAACAAAAACCGACGCAGGAGGAATCCAGAAGTTTTATAAAAAAGTATTACAGTAGCCTGTCGAAGTTTCTTTTGAAAAGTGAAAGAGAAAGCAGAGATTATGAAAATGTCCGAAGAAGTGTTTGTCACATTTTAAATCAGGATTTAGGCATGAGGGGTGCGCGTTGGGTGCCGCGTTTACTGTCGTTAGACCATAAACGTGGTCGAATGAATGTTTCCAACGCTCTGTTAATGCAGTTTAGGAACAATAAATTCGAGTTTTGAGGATACACCATTATACGCCCGAATCAAAAATACAGTCAAAAAAGTGGACTGCGAAGGGGGAAACTCAGCGGTTCTCATGGCGAAAATCTACGAATTCCGGCTTGAACCAAATCTAGCCCGAAGCTCCCTCAACTGATCGCCAATTGAGAAGGCAATCAATCATCTTCGTGAACAATTATTTTGCAGAGAAAAACACTGGGTAATATTTGGACGCGTTAGACAGAGGTAGAGTTACAAGTTACAAAAAAAAATCGAAAAAATTTCTTCATTCTTAGGTCGGAAACTTTTCAAGTGACTCTCGTATCACTTATTATTTATTTTTCAGAGAAGTAGAGGTAAGGTGTTACTTATAAATTATTATTAACTTTTTTAATTTAAATTTGACAGTTATTTTTATGAAAATAACGGGTCAATTAGGCCAATTGGGTTCAAAATATTTTTGGAAAAGTACAAGTTTTTGAAAGTTTTTTAGAATTAAGCAACTGGAAATACAACCTCCATTTACGTGGTGTGAAATGTTTTTGTTATTTTTTTTATCTTAAAAACAAAATTATAAATTTTGGCGTACTGTTCAAACACACTGTATATTAGCGGTCAACTAAAAATCTTTTTACAAATTTTTCGGTGGTTTAGATATTCCGCATTCCTTTTTAACCACTAAACGTATAGTCGGTATTTAATAAATAGACTATTTCTTATGTAGTTCTGTTGTATGACAAGTTCGCCGCAACAAGAAAAGAATACAAAGAGTAAAATCGAAAATACAGGTAAGAGAACGATTACCTAAATGTTTGATCACCTCAGGATTGCAAACTATTTACAGATGGAGAAACAAAAAAATATGTTAAAATCACATTCAGAGGCGTCCGCATGATAATAAATAAATTGGAAAATTTAAACGGATGAGCTCTAATTTTCGGAAATAAGCACGTTCATGGAAAACATTTTCGATCCGACCGGATTTAGCTCGAACTACATACCTATATTCGGGTGCTGAAGTTTTCTGCAGATTCTCGCCTCTCTTTCTAACTTTTGAAAATCTGAAAACAGTATGCAATAATTATATTAACGACTAACGCTGCAGTATTTATTTTCGGATAATATTTAGGGCTGATAGTTCACTGATTAAATAATCCATATGTTAAAATCGAACGCATTCAGTTCAAATCTATGTTCAAATGTTTATAACTTTATATTGATTTAATTTAACCACAATTCATATGATTAATTTGGTCCATATTTCATTTCTGGGTTTAAAAAATGGCCCAGCATAACTACTGCTCCGACGAATGGCGGAAGTAATGATTAGCCACAAATGCTACCGAAATAATGAGTTTATAAGGTGACTGGCTGAAAAATCAGGAAAGTTTATGGCAGACTCTATCTATAAAATACCTTCGAAATAACCCTACGCCAAACACGCTATATAATAAGCCCACTAATAAATTTATAAATATATTTACTTTATCCTAAAAAATAGTCTCAAAAAAATACTCCAATTGATAGTACATTAATACTTTAGCCACGAGGGTCTGCAGAATTTTATAAACCTATACTCACTCTATAACCAGGACGAAATAAATTACAATTCAAGAAATTATTTAAAACATTGACTTCATCCATGACACATTTTTTTATGATTTTTAAAATCACTTTGAGATATATAGCTACAATCATCCAAGATTCAAATGTAAAATGTAATTATTTTTTGCATAATATTTCAATTGACACAACTGTTATGGATAGTCTAATTCGCCAATATTTCGTATATATATATATATATATATATATATATATATATATATATATATATATATATATATATATATATATATATATATATATATATTTCCTTCACAATTAAAGATTTGTAGATGTGTCGTTGCGTATTTTTGCCATATATTCAATATATTCCAAAATAATGAAACAGAATAAAAGTACCCCCAAAAATGTCTAAATTCTTATTAAGTTCCGATTGCTCTTAGCGCTTGTTATTTTTAACGTTTGTTCCGTTCTACTTGCTTCCTCTGCACTTAAAATCTTAAGTCGCACGCAGCGACTCCGCTCTAAGAGCTATTAAGTGAACGCGCGTGTATAATAATTACCCGTTTTAATGTGTAATGAACACTGCTATGAAAGTTAATAGGAAACCGGGGGTGCAAAACAAACCCAAACAAAAATAGAGGTGTGGCTCAAATTTGCCGCGTCGTGTAATTAAAGTTTCCCCGTATTAATTTTCATGCGGATAAAGATCGGCCTAAATATAGAGCCATTTAATAATTTAACTTGATGGGATTTTTTGTGTGAGAAACGAAAAGCTGCAATTAATCTGCTACGCTTGTACTAAAAAGTGGAACTTTGTACCGCTGCTCGAAAATCGATAAAAGAAAAAGTCAGTATTTTAATTATATAAAATTGCCTTGATATTTTTAATTTTGCATGTTTGAAAGATGTTGCAGAATGATTGGAATTGAAAATAAGATTGTATTTAAATTGTTGCAGTAAATAAAGGTAGCAGTTATTATTTTGATTTTCTTATTACTAACAGTTACACCATTTAACATATCAAGTCAATTAGAAAATAATCATGACACTGAAATGCACCTTACGAACAAAACTTCTTTTAATCCATATGCTGCAATACGTAAAAAAATTCTAGCTTGTCAGTATGGGTGATTCCGTTCTGTTATTTTTTTATTTAAAATTACAGTAAAAATACAACTTGAAAGCGTCAAGAACGAGAAACAAATTTCAAATTTTCCGATACACGGTACTGACCAAATTAATTTGAGTTCTAAAATCATATAACTCTTTGCACTATTTCATCAACTCCATGTTTGTAAATAGTAATCAGATGACGTACTTTCAACATGATTCACTAGACGTTTCATAAATCTCAAGAGAGATGGCGCTCGAGTCATATAAATTCAAATTCAAATATTCATTAAATTTTAAAGACAACAGTTAATGAACCGGAATGAACTTAAAACACGAACTAAAAAGAGTTTTTGTTTGATCATAGAAATAAGAATTTATGATCCAATTAGTTTAAATCATTTATCAATCATTTAAAATTTAAGAATTTATAGATGAATTTTAGATATGAATATGACACGGTACTGACATTTAGCTCATATATTGTAGGTTCTCTCTGAATGACAAATTATGTTATATAAAAAATATGTTGAAATAATATGTTTATGATCATCTACTTACAACAAAAATTGCATTATTAGATTATTAATTAATCGCCTTGAGAATAAACAATACAAGACATTAAGTAATGAAAGAATTCAATATAAAGAGGCATCACAAATTAAGAAAAAACAAAATCCAATATTTATTAGTAATATGTTCTCTGAACCGCAACTGCGAATCAAGAGTGAGACCCAAAATTTTGCATGACTCAGAGAGTGGCAATTTTACGTTATTAAGTTTAATTGTTATATTATACTTTGCAGGAGTTAAATAATTATCATTTCCAAAGAGTATTACTGAAGATTTATTAGGGTTAAGCTTTAGGAAGTGATCTGCTGCAATGTAAAAAAAATTTGATAAATCAGTATTGATGACATCCTCCGCGGTAGGTTGAGGAAAAAATAAGTAGTAAATTTGAGTGTCATCCGCATAAAAATGACAGTTGCATTGGTGGAGAGCTCCAATGAAGTTAAAAGTAAAAATAGTGTACAACACGGGACCAAGAATGCTGCCCTGTGGAACACACATGCGAACACCTATGAACGATGACTCCTGCTGATTGTAGACAACCCGTTGTGTCCGACCTGACAAAAAGGAACACAGAAACTCTCGAGCACCTTCGGAGAAACCAACGTAAAGGAGAATGACCAAGAGAATTGAATGATTTATCATATCAAATGCCTTACTGAAATCCAATAATATTAAAGCCGTTATCTTTCCTTCGTCAGTCGCTCTAAAAATCAGTAATGTCCAGCATGGCACTCTCACAACTGTGATTAGGTCTAAAACCAGACTGTTTCTCTGGTAGAATATGATTAGAATTTAAAAAGTTTACCATTTGATCGTTCATAATTCTTTCAAGTACTTTAGATAGAACAGGCAATATGTTAATTGACCGCAGGTGACTAAATTCGCTTGGATTGTTTATTTTCGGTAAGGGGATGACGCTTCCGTGTTGACTGAAAGTACGAATTTAAGATACACTCATTTATTGTATGCGTAATGTATGGGGCAATATATGGGCAGCAAAGAAGTATTAATTATATATTTATCTCATCATGGCGCGCAGCTTTAGATTTTATATTTTTCAGAATGTTGAGAATCTCATCTTATGTGGACAATACAAAGTCAAATTGATCCGTTCTGTCATTTATTTTTTATTTTTTATTATTATAAAAATTCAACAGTTCTTGATTGGGGCTATCATTATTTTCCACACTGTTTATAAAGAAATTATTAATTTGATCGACATTATCTAAGTGATTTGGCAAAGTACCTCTGTTACGTTTTACAACATTAAGTTTTCTTAGTTCGTTCCATTTCTCTTTGGCATTACCATGACAAAACTTAGTTCTTAAATAAGCTTTTTTCTCTGATCTAATGGCCAAATTTGTACAATTACGTAATTGTTTGTAATACAGTTAAAAAAATTTTAGCGCTTTATTACTCAGCTTTTGTAGCAGTTTTATGTTTTCTGTTATCCAAAGCGCATAGTTATAGTTTTTATTCTTCCTAAAGCGTTTTAATGGCGCGTACTTATTAAATAGTACCAATATGCAAGTATTTAGGAGGTTTAGCTTTTCTTCAATGTCACAAACATAAATTAAGTTACTTAACGGTAAATCTAGTAGATCTTAAACTCCTGAAGATTAATGGTTTTTAATGATCTATAATAAAAACTTACAGGTTCATTACCTGGCAAGTCTAGACTGAATTTTATGTATGTTAAAAACTGATCAGCGATGTTATTGTCGACAACCCCTACATCAGACACGTTTTTTACGTTGGTAAATATTAAATCTAAGAGCGACATAGAATGTAATGCAATGCGGGTAGGTTCTTGTACATATTGGTCCATATTGAAAGTAGAAAACACAGAAGTTAATCTAGTTCCAAGATCAGTATTTAAATTAAGCATATTGATATTGAAGTCGCCAAAGCATATTAAGCTATTATAGTCTGAGTATATATTAAACAAGCATTCCTCAAGGGTATTAAAAAATTGTGATACGTTAGTATTAGGTGGTCTGTAAACAGTACCCACCATAAAGGTTCGATTATTTAACAGTACTTTAACTCATATATATTCAATATGCTCAAGACAAGCAGAGGCCAAAACTTCACACCTTAAATTATTTTTAACGTGCGCCTCCGCGCCTGTCCAGACGATTGTGATGCAGAAAATTATAATTCGCAATGCCTACCATCTGATCAACCCCCGCACCCAGCCCCGTTTCAGATACACCAACGATATCATAATTGTTACTCAATAATTGGCTTAGAAAAGAGTCAAAATTGGCCAGCAAGGACCTTACATTAACATGTGCGGCACAAAAATTAAGATCCATTGAGAATTAAAGGAGGGAAGGTTAGGAAGGAAGGAAATAGTTATCAAATTCAAACAAGCAGTGGAAAGTACGAGGGTACCAAAACCAATAAAGTTGGTGCTGCATGTAACCTAAAGTTAATTTGAAGTTCGTGTATTATACAGAAACATATAAATACTGAATAAAGCCTGTATGGAACATGTGGCATATGTGACATACCTAAATTACAAGATATAAAAACTATTCTTCGAAAAGTATATTATAATTGACTAATCTCATGGTGGTAAAGAATTTACCTGGCTGGGAAATGTGAGGTTAACATTGCTTATCACTTAGATTAATAACGAAGAAAAAAAAGTAAGCTTTTTATAATTTGATTCACAATTAATTTCTGTAAAGTTGGAAAGAAAAAAATAGCTGTGAAGTGAAGTGAAAAGAAGCTACATACAGTTATTCCTTGATTTGGTCGGTGATTTGGCATATGTCGTCCTCATCCTGAACACGATACACTTCAC